AGCACTTTGGGAGGCTGAGGCGGACGGATCATGAGGTCAGAAGATCGAGACCATCCTGGCCAAGATGGTGAAACCCCATCTCTACTAAAACTACAAAAATTAGCTGGGCGCAGCTGCTCACGCCTGTAATCCCAGCACTTTGGGAGGCTGAGGCGGGAGGTTCATGAAAGTCAGGAGTTCGAGACCATCTTGGCTAACACGGTGAAACCCTGTCTCTACTAAAGATACAAAAAGTTAGCTGGGCGTGGTGGCGGGCACCTGCAGTCCCAGCTACTGGGGAGGCTGAGGTAGGAGAATGGCGTGAACCTGGGAGGCGGAGCTTGCAGTGAGCCGAGATCGCACTATTGCACTCCAGCCTGGGCAACAGAGCGAGACTCTGCCTCAAACAAAACAAAACAAAAAAAACCCTCTAAGGTGAGAAGATGTAAATCACAGTAATTAAAGTAATTAAGGTAACACAGCCCAGGCCAAGAACAGTCAGCAGACTGACTGATAGGACGAGGACACTGAGCTATGACAAGAGCCACTGCTGACTGGGGAAAAGACAGTCTTCTCCACAAATGGTGCTGAGTCAGTCAGGTAACAAGATGGGAAAAAAATAAACCTCGACTCTGATCCTACACCACACACAGAACGGCTGTCAACCTACACACGGAACCCACGTGAACGCAAACAGGACCGTTTCTGGGAAATATTCAAGTTTTCAAAAAATATCACTAGGACATTACAAAAACCCAGTATTTAGAAAAAGACTGATAAATGGAACTAGAATAAAAACAAGAACTTCTGTTCACTCCAAGACATCATTAGGAAGTGAAAAAGCCACAGAGGGAAGGCGACATCTGTGGCGCACACAAGTGACAACAGAGCCTTTGTGAGAATATGTGTTACCAGCCCACAGAAGGCAAGTCATTCCACAGTAAGGCTGGAATAGGCAGTTGGCAGCAGAAAAGCCCAACTCTGCACACGAGCACGCACACACGGAGGCTGCCGTCCCTCGAGGGCTTGGCCCCACCGCACGGGGAGAGATGCCTGAACGCTGTGACCTTCCAGAGCCCGGCTTCTCTGCCATCAAACACAAGTCATTTCACCAACGGTTACTTCTTAGAAGGTGGCTGCAGGGACAGAGTCTGGGGTTGGGGCTGGCAGTCCATAGGGGCCACTGCTATGAAGACAGCTGCCTGGTGCCCTATTCTCCAAGCATAAGATTTATTCTGTGGTCTGGTAGCTGCTGTTTGAGATGAGAAAACCTTTATTTCCCCACTGGCCTGGAGTGACTGCAGGTTTCAAGAGGTTTTAAAATAGACAATGGATGAATTCCAGAGCAATGATGGGAACTAGGCTACAGTAAAGGGAGCATGAGGCCAGGCTGGGATGGGTCAACCACCCTTGCCCCCGCCTCAGAAACCTCCCGAAACCAGGTTCCTGGAGTGGCCCCTGCTCTCTCCCACGGGCAGTGGGGATTGGGTGGGCTGGGGACACAAGCGACGGGTCTGCTGGCGTTTCTGTGCACATGACGGGAGGCTCACTGCTGCTTCACTCAGTCACTGTGAACACACGGCACCCCTCCTTAGCCTCTCTGCCGTCTCAGGGGTTGCCAAGCCCCAACCCGAGATTCTCGGTTGGGGTCTGGAGGATTGGAGTGGTGGGTCTCAGGCCCCACTCTCATAAGAAGGGGGCAGTCGGCTGCACAGGCTTAGGGACCTCCCAAGTCAGAGGGCCCTCCATCCATGCTGGGCACAGAACCAGGGCCAGCTCCGAAGGTGGCACTCAGCAGGTCTATAGCAAGCCCACTCTCGTCAACAGTAAGAGCTCTCATCTGAATCCAGGCCCTACTGGGACAAACACATTCAGGTTTCACAGTTCACAACAAGCTCTACGTGGCCGCAACCCCACAAAGCACATTACCTTATTGTCGAGATCAAAGAGGTAAGAATCTTCCTCCCGAACATCGGCTTCTGAGTCCGAAATCAGCTCCCCAACATACCTGCAGAGGGAGAAGCGGTGCAGGTGAGGCCCTGGAAGGCAGCGAGCACTGCCCACAGACAAGCACAGCCTGGTCTCCGCGCCCACAGGGAAAGAGCGGGGCACACCAGAAGAACATGCGGGGAACATGTTTGGAGACGTGTGCCTGGTTGAACTGGGGTTTTCCGAGGATGATGATGATGACGATACTGAAAGCTCTGCGTCTGCGGTCTGGCGCCTGAGAACCCAGAATGGTCCTCCCCCAGAGAGGACTGCCCGTGCTGGACCACGCCTTCCTAACTGGACCACGCCTTCCTAAATGCACTCATGAGCTGTTTAAGGGCAGCAGCGAGAGCACTGAGGACAGCACGAGCTTGGTTCTCGGGGCCAGGGTCTCCACGGCCCCCACCCCATGCTGCTGTAGGCCAGGGGATGTGCCTGCTCCCAGAGGGGCTTCCTGAAGTGCAGACACAGATGGGCCTCCGTCCCAGAAATGACACGTGCCACCGGCAGGCTTGGGGTGACCCAGGGACTCACTCACTCGCAGACAAAGGTGCCTAGTGGGATGTCCTGCAGGGACCGCACGCCCCAGCCCATGTCCCTCGTCCGGTAGAGCTGCAGCCTTGCCCTGGAAAAGAGAGAGTAGTGGTGGACCCAGGCCACAGCCTCAGCCTCTTGCCACAATGGTCAGCAAAAGCCAGCTGGTGCCACGTCACTGAAATGAGGAAGAAAACTGGTTCTGTATCCAAAGCGTTAGATGCTGCAGGCACCACACAGATGTAGCGTCTTGCAATCTCAGGAAGCCAAGAACCCAGGAATCAGCCAGGAACACCCCAGCCCGTGACCTCGGCAAGTCACTGGTCCTGGCCGTGGCTCGGTGTCCCCATCTGTAACATGGGGACAGAGCTGGGCCTGGGCCACTAGGCACTGTGGGTGGCAGAGGTGCTAATACTAGAGAAGCCTATAGCTGGACCAGGCAGTGGTGACACCTGCCGCCGAACCTGCTCCTCATAAGCAGCCCACAGGCCCCTCAGGGCTGGGGAGGGTGGCAGGGGGGGTTTCTCAGGGCTGGGGGAAGGTGGTTGGGCGGGCCTGGGGGAGGGCGGCTGGGCAGGCCTGGTAAATGGGGCCTCCGTGGAGCCCTCAGAACCACGTGCCTCACGTCTGCCTGTCTGGTGTGGGTCCCGTGTGTCTGCTTTGTGTCTGCCTGTCTGGTGTGGGTTCTCACCCCCAGGTCTTTCTACCACACCAAGGACAGAGACTGCCCTTCAGCATGGACCAAGTTTACCGAGGTCACAAAAGAGTCAATACTACAAAAATTAGTGTCCAGCTAAATTTAAGAGTTCGTAACTTTCCCTTGTGACTCAGAGGGGCTTTGAGTTTTCCAATCTCAGGCACATTTGTGGAGGAAATGCTCAAGACCAGAACCCGGGGAAAGGAGAGGCTGCTGCTGGGTGGTCAGGGGACCAAGCCCAGCTGGTGAAGCGCCCTGAGCAGGAGTCCAAGCGCCAGGAACAAGGAGTCCATGCGCCTGAGAAGTGTTAGGACATCACCTCACTGTTAGAGAAGCCCAGAGAAGAACATTTAGAAAATGACTGGAGTGTTAAAACAGAACGACGACAGCCCTGATCTGTTGAAGACTGTTCGTGTGAACTTGGTAACAAAGGTAATTCTTAGGCCAAGTCCGTTCCTCTGCTTTTAGCTCAACTGACCCAACCATCTGCTCCTTCTCTCAGGCCTGCGTCTGAGCTGGTGGAAGCATGACTCGTGATTTACGGCACCAGTGACATTTCCAGAGGATAAAGGGCTCAGAGGTAACCTGTCGGCTCTATCTGCAAACACAACGCGGGTACATCCAAACACGTTAAGTTCTTGTCTGTCGGGGTGACCTCCGTGCTAATGCACACATGAGCAGAATATGGGGCTCTGGCAGGAAGCTGCCTCTCACCTGAGACCATTCTGCACGACACGATTTCGGCAGTTCCTCCAGCAGGAGCACGCGTGGTTGCATTCGAAGATCAAGGGAGGCTCCGCCATGTTGAACTCTGGCAGGAGCCGGCCGTCCTGTGGACAGACGAGCAGCAAGGGCCCAGCAGAGGTCACTCACTCTTCGAGCTGACATCAACCCATTTCCACTAAGTGCCCACCCAGTGCGGCTCAAACTGGCATAAAAACAATGGTTTCTGGCCAAACTTGAACACCCACCTAGGGAAAAACTCCATGTGTATGGTTTGGATGGGAAGCCCCCACCCAGATGCCCACACAGGTTGTGGAGACCTCCTGGAGCGCTCCCCAGACCCAGCCTGGGCCAGTTTCTGTCCATCCGGGGCCTTCCCAGCCCCCAGCCTGGGCTTCTCCACGTCACCGAGGCTGCCGGCTCGTGGGCTGCTCTGCCTCCTTCGGCTGCTCGGGGCCTCCTGCACCCTCCTGCACTCCTGGCCTCCTTGCCTCGCAAATCCTCAACTGTGGAGGGACCCAGCCCTCTGCTCCCCTTCCTACCCTCCGAAGCCAGGCCAGGTGCAGCAGCACTGGGCGCAGGTGCTCCCCCAGCGCTGTGTGAGCTGAGGTGCAGGGCCCAGGGCTGCCCAGGCACACTCTGGCTTGATGGCTTCCGGGGATGCCCTGAACAATTAGGGTGCTCCCCACAACATTCCTTCCTGTGCCCCTTCAGCAGGACTGTCCACCCCAAAAGACACCACTCGGACATGAGCCTGGCTGCTTTCCGAGCCTGCCACCTCCATGGCCCTCACTGGCATGAATCCTTCTCCCACTGGGGCCTCTCATTCAGATGGGTAAACCCTCCGGCCACCCTCCACGGCCACCCTCCTCCAAAGTCCGCTTCCGGAGGGGACGCCTGCTGCCTCTCCCTGCTTGCATCTCTTCACCCAGGCCATGTTGGCTTCTGTCCCCACCGTGACCTCTGAACTCGGGAGACCAGGAACCCTCCGCCTCTGCTTAGACATCCCTCCCCTGAATTGCACCCCAGCTAGCCAGGGCCAGTCCCCACTCCCATCTCCTCCTCAGCGGCCACCATCTCGGGCCCTCTGAGGACCAGCACCCACCAGAAACTTCCAATCCTGTGTCTCCTCAAGCCCCACGCCCACACCGATGCTCCCTGTACCCAGCCCAGCAGCACCCTCCCTCTTCACACCCCTCACACTCAGCAAGCACAAGGCAGAGCTCACCAGATACACCAAACACAAGCAGCACCTCCTCCTGGGGCCAAGCCAGGCTGCCTGGCTGCCCGCCTCCACTACCATCCAGGTGGCCACAAAGGATACAGACCCCAGCCCCAGGGACTCTGCAGCCATGTCCTCGGCTCACAACCCCGCCTTGGGTGCCGGCGCCCACTGTGCCGTCCCTGCCTGTGACACCCAGCTCACCTCCAACTCCTTCCCAACGCTGCCACAACGGCGCTGGGGTCACGGACGCCTGCACTGTTTTTGCAGACCCGGACCAGCGGCACTTACCACCTGAGCCCACGCACACGAGGCCGCCCTCACCTTGTCGTACCAGCAGCGCATGCTGAGCTGGCCGCACATGCAGTTGCTGGAGGAACAGTCGTCGATGCACACACAGTACTGAGGAGAGAGGCGCCGGGGCCGTCAGACGTGCAGGCACAGGCCTTCTGTTTCCCTCCCAGTCACAACTACGTTTTACAATTCTCAGTTACCCCGATTCTGCTAAATGCTTCTCAAAGGCACCACGAGTGTGTGGCCTCTTAGGGTGAAGGGTGTGCGGGCAGAAACATGCCGAGTGCCCGCTGGAGGGTCTCTCTGGCTGAGGACCCTGACAGAGGGATGGGGCAGGCAGGGCAGCGACGCGGCAGCGGGTGACATGGGGTGGGTGAAGGGCTGGGCAGCGGCTGCATTTGTGGCCAGATGCTCGACGGGAAAAACAAGAATGCAGAGCCTGGCACACCCTGAGTGGGGGGCCCTGGGCAGTGCCCGGCCTGGGAAGAGGAGGGAGCTGCCTACAAGCAGAGCCACAAAGAAAGTGCTCAAGAAGGCGCAGGCGGTGAGGGCACCAGGCTCTGTGCACTCAGGCTGGGAAAGCTGGCATGTGCTGGACCCATCTCTCCGGGGGCTGGGAGATGCAGGGACCAGGTCGTCCTGCAGGCCTTGCAGGGGCTCCTCTCGCCTGTGCCACCAGCACGAGGCCGCACGGGGGCCCCTGAGTGTGAGGTAAAAAAAAGGCACAAAGATGCTTGCCGTTCCTTTGGGGTCGGTAAGAAGCCTCGGAAGAGCAGTGAGAGGCCCAGGGCTGGGCCTGACAGAACCTTTATCTGCCTTCCAGCTCTTTCACGGGAGGCAGCTGCAAAGAGAACGAGGTCTTCCTGGGAAGCCCCCCACGAGCCCTCCTGCTCTGAGTGGTGAGAAGAACCCAGGACCCCAGGCTCCAGAAGCTTCTGCCCGCCCCACGTCCTGGCCTGAGCCCGCCCTTCGTCCGTGTCACTCACCTGCAGGTGAGTGATGTTTCTGTCGATGTTCATGGGGGACGTCACGCAGTTCTGAGAGACGTACTTGTAGTTGCTGGGGCACGGCTCGCCATCCACGGCGTTGACGCAGGGGATGGGGATACGCTCGTAGCCTCGAGCGATGTCCCTGCCACGGAAAGGGCAGGTGTCACCTGGAGGCTGACGTACTCTGCCCAGGGGCTGGCATGGCGTGCAGTGGGCGGCTGGCAGACACCTGGCCCTGAGAGTTTGAACTCCAGCCTTGGGGATGTTTCAGCTTCAGGAGCAGCTTTCACCGCAAACTCCCAAAGCCCTGCTGGCCGCCGATTTGCCGCAGAGCCGTCCCGGGGCCGGGCTCACCTGCTCACTATCCTCTCCACGGGGCTGGGCCTGTCGGGGGCCGAGTCCTGCAGAGCCTTGCTCATCTGCAGAGCGCTCCACACCTGAGAGTTGAGGCTTGCACACTGCAGGGGCGTCTCCCCTTCTTTGTTCTTTAAGGTGACATCTGAATCCCGAGAAAGAAAGAGGCTAAAAGGGAAAATGTAAGGCCACAAAACATTTAAAGCTGACTTGAAAAGATGACACAGATGAGATTTATAAAATGACCATCATCACTAACAGTAAAGGGAACACACTATTCGCTGTGAGATAACTTGAAGTCTGCTCACCAATGACTCTGCAAAGACGGGCTTTAGCTCACCCAGGAACAGGGACTCTCTTACTCCTCTCCCATATTCACTGTCAAAGTCAGCAGGCTGTTTTCTTAGCAGGAAGAGTATGTAAAAAACCAGGATGGCATTTGATTTTTCTTGGATTTTTCATTTAAATTTACCCTCAAGGATAAGAAGGGAAGCAAGGAGGGGGAGAGGCCACGCTTGGGCCATGCACAGCATGAGCAGTCCTCAGTTCCACTCCTGCCCACTGCGTCCAGACCGCAGTCACCGTACGTGGAGCTGGGCTTCGCACAGCCAGATGACCAACCTGGGTAAGCCACCATGAGATCCAAATGTGGGAGGGCACAGCTCCACGTGTAGGGGCTGGGGAGACACCGGAGGCTGGTGCGTGGAGCACCCACAGCTCCCTGTCCTTCCCCAGCAGCCAAACAAATACCCCATCCCAGGCCACCGACAACAACCTGAGTGTGTATGACTTAAGGGATCAAGGTCTCAAGTTTTTTTGTTTTTGGGTTTTTTTTTTTTTCTTGAGACAGAATCGCGCTCTGTCGCCCAGGCTGGAGTGTAGTGTCGCAATCTCCGCTCACTGCAATCTTTGCCTCCCGGGTCCAAGCGATTCTCCTGCCTCAGCCCCGGGAGTAGCTGGGATTACAGGCACCCACCACCACACTCGGCTAATTTTTGTATTTTTAGTAGAGATGGGGTTTCACCATGCTGGCCAGGCTAGTCTCAAACTCCTGACCTCAGGTGATCCTCCTGCCTCAGCCTCCCAAAGTGCTGGGATTACAGGTGTGAGCCACCGCCACCCAGCTGAAGGTCTCAAGTTTTAAAAGGGCCCTGAGCGGTGAGCGCCACAGCCCCCAGCATCTCCAGCTCTGGCTGTGGGTGGCACTGCTCCCAGAAGGCACTCTGAGCCTCTCGGCGCCTCAGAGCTGGCAGGTCCCTGCTGGGAGCAGGGCTGTTCCCACGCTGCCCCTCAGCCATGTCAGGAGCATCAGGTCTGAGACTCAACTCAAGGTCTGACCTAACAACTTGGGAATTTTGCATGACAATCCTCCTAACCCAGAAATAAACCACAGCTGATCTCAAACGTGGACTGGGAAAGTCACTTCTCTGTACGTGGAACACCAAGGACGGACTTCCACAGGAGGGAACAGAGGGCCTGTGTCCACTCGAGCCCAAGTGTGAACACACGACCATCGAGCGGTCTCTCCGGGCGCCCAGGTCAGGTCAGCGCCAGCCCGAGCCGGGGGAAGCGCCACACTCACACGACACAGTCGTAGCGGTTCTCCCGGGCAGCAATGTGCAGCGGCGAGTCTCCGTGGATGTTCACGGCGTGGAGGTCGCACTTGGCAGCCAGCAGGATCTCGGCGATGTCCACGCAGCCAGAGAACGCCGCCCAGTGCAGGCAAATGTTCTCCTCCTGAACAGACACAAGCCAGAGCTCAGTGCACGCTTCCTGCTGGCTCACAGTGCCAGGGCCCGGCCACAGCAGCTGCAGCCCGCGTGCCTGGGGACAGGCTCTGGAGCGCGCGTGGCCGTCCTCAGCAACGGCCAGGTGGAAAGGGCGCCACAGGTCACCAGATGGGAACCTAGTGCCCATCTCAACTCTGGAAGGCACATCCTTTCGTGTTTTGTTTTTTTTCATTGTAAAAATAACATAATTATAAAAGTAGCATAATCACAGTAAAGAATATTGTAAAAATAGGGAAAAGGTCATCCAGAATTATATCAACCTAATCTCAACACATTAACACTTGCAGGCACTTTTCTTTCATCTATTTTTAAAAATTATATTCATTTCCAAACAGGGGTATAGTCATAGGATAGGATAATGCTTTTGAAAGATTTGAAAAAAGACATGCAAATTTGATTAAATTAAAATTTTGGGCCGGGTGTGGTGGCTCATGCCTGTAATCCCAGCATTTTGGGAGGCAGAGGCAGGTAGATCACTTGAGGTCAGGAGTTCGAGACCAGCCTGGCCAACATGGTGAAACCCTGTCTCTATTAAAAATACAAAAAATGAGCCAGGCGTGGTGGTGGGCGCCTGTAATCCCAGCTACGCGCAAGGCTGAGGCAGGAGAATCGCTTGAACCCAGGAAGCAGAGGTTGCAGTGAGCCGAGATTGTGCCACTGCACTCCAGCCTGGGCAACAAGAGCAAAACTCTGTCTCAAAAAAAACAGTAAGTTTTACTTTTAAAAAGGCCTCTTTTAAATAAAACAAATAAAATTTGGATAAATACTTGTGCCACATGTAAAATATAGATGATTTATAATCACACAGTAAATTAGAACACTGTAATTCTGAAAAAGTATGTGCAAAGGAGAAGAAAATAAAGAAGGTAGGTAAGAAAAAGATGAACGGTAAACATAAGACAATGTTCAACTCTGCCAGGCAGCCACAAATACAAATCAGAACAACGAAATATCCCTAACTCCATCGCCCCAGAGATAAAACAGCGATAGGTGGAATGAGGAACAGGCCCGCGCCCGTTTCCTACGCCTGATGCCCGTCTGTCCCTGACCCTCCGTCATCACCAGAGGCTCCCAGGTGCTGAGGCCTCCTCCAGTTGGCACCACGCGAGGAGCGCCTTCCACGCGGGGCGGCATCGGAACCGCCTCCGGACCCATCACGAGGGTCCACGCGGGGCGGCGTCGGAACCGCCTCCGGACCCATCACGAGGGTCCACGCGGGGCGGCGTCGGAACCGCCTCCGGACCCATCGCCGACGGTCACTCAGCTTCCGGACCTTTCCTGTACTGAACACCCGGTTTGTTTCTGTGGGTCTATTTCTGGAATACATTGCCAGCAAATATTCTAGTGCTTTTTATTTTCTACATTATTTCTCAGGGATGCTTCCTCAGAGGCAGGATTGTTGGATTAAAGCACGTGAGCGTTTCACGCTCCTGAAGTGGGTTCCGTTCTGCGCGTGTCTGGGAGGGCCGGCTGCACCTCCTTCCCCTCGGGAATGTCAGCGATCTTCCCAGAGCCATCAACCAAGCCCCGCCTGACTGTCCGCTTTGCTGCGGGGGCTGAGGCGGCTCCGGGCCAAGGCAGAGCCCTGCAGGGGTGTGGTCTCCTCCCCGCAGGCTCTGCTTCCCTTTGAGCTCGGCCCCGCCTCCCATCCAGGGCCGCCGCCACATCCCAGGGACTGGCTCTGCAGGTGGGCAGAGTCTCACCCCCAAGAGAGAAGGACACGCGCTCTTCTGAGACACCCGGTGCTCTCCTGCAGTCCCCTCCCAACTCCACACCGTGCGGCACCAACGCTTTCCAGCTCAGTGAGCGTGAAGATAAAAGCAGAACAGAACCTAGTGGCCTTGTCTCCAGTATCTTCATCCACAAACCCGGCTAGCCCCAGGCGTGGGCTTCACTGTGTCCGTGACTTCTAAAACAGACAACTACAAGCAGACTCCGTGTGTCCGCCTCAGTGGACTTCCTGAAGAGCCTGGGCTGCTCTGGGGCTCTTCCATCCCTTGGCTCTTTGTTTCTGCTTTCCCTCCTCCACACATTTGAGGGCTCCTTCAACAAAATGCTGCTTGCTTAGGGGCCTCTTTTCTTTTTCCTTTATCGGAAGGATTTATGATTTTATAACCAGAATTACATGTTTTATTTGTTTTCGAGGCGGAGTCTCACTCCATCTCCCAGGCTGGAGTGCAGCTGGCATGATCTCGGTTCACAGCAACCTCTGCCTCTGGGGTTCAAGCGATTCTCGTGCCCCAGCCTCCCCAGTAGCTGGGATAACAGGTGCGTGCTACCAGGCCCAGCTAATTATTTTGTATTTTTAGTAGAGTCGGGGTTTTACCATGTTGCCCGGGCTGCTGTCAAACTCCTGACCTCCGGTGATCCGCCACCACGCCCCGCCCCAGAATTACGTTTTTGAGAGCTTCCAGTTCACCTAAGATCCTTCCACCCTGGGACTGTTCAAACGCCCAGCCTTTCTGAAGTCTGCTGAGTTAGGACCAGCCCGGCCTACACCTGGTGAGCAACCGCACTCCTGAAACGATGGGGTGATACAGACCAGAACAGATTTACCTTCCCACCTAAAAGAACCAGAAGAGTAAAACAAACAGTCAAAACCCGTGACCATGGCTGTCAAGCACCAGACACCAGGCAGGGAAGGACCGTGCCCTGAGAGGCGGAGCCTGTGAGGGAGCCCGTGGCTGCCCAGCTCACTGCCACTACAGCTCCAACCATGGTGCGGGAGGGAGCCAGGCAGGGCCTCCGGATGCTCAGACAGAAAACAGAGCTCCAAGGGAGGGTCCAGAGATCTGTGCATTTCCACCTGGGTCATCCGGCAGGACACCAACAGCCACGAGCCTGTGGAGAACGTGCACTCAAAGCCAGGGCCTTTCCCCACAGCCAGGCAGGCCACACTCTCCGTTCACAGGCTGTGGGCTGGAGGACAGTGGAGGGACCTGCCTCAGTGGCTCCAGACCCACCTAACAAACCTGAAAAGCAAAATCCAACATGATCTGACGGGTTTCAAGTGACTTGGCTGAGTTCCAGAACAAAGTTCAAGAAGATTCACAGGAAGAAGAGTCCCTAGCACTATACAAGTTTTGTAAAACCCACCCACATCCTGGCATTGGCTACAGGTTACCAGACGTGCAAAGGAGCAGGAAACATGACCCACAGTGGGGAGGAAAAACCCAGTCAATCAAAAAACCCGGCATTTGCTCAGATGCTGGATTAGCAAACAAGGTCATTAAAGCCATTGGTGGGCCAGATGCGGTGGCTCACACCTGTAATCCCAGCATTTTGGGAGGCAGAGGCAGGTAGATCACCTGAGGTCAGGAGTTCGAGACCAGACTGGGCAACATGGTGAAACCCCGTCTCTACTAATACTACAAAACTTAGCCAGGCGTGATGGTGTGTGCCTGTAATCCCAGCTACTCGGGAGGCTGAGGCAGGAGAATCGCTTGAACAAGGGAGGCAAAGGTTACAGTGAGCCGAGATTGCGCCACTGCACTCCAGCCTGGGAAAAAGAGACTCTGTCTTAAATAAATAAATAAGTAAATAAAGCCATTGGTATAACTGTGTTCTATAGGTTCGAAAACTAAGTAGAAACATGTTAGGAAATGTTTGAAAGACTCCAACAGAACATTCAGAGCTGAAAACGACAATGCCTGGAATGTAAGCACACAAACTGGATGAGCTCAACAGCATCACGTGCAGAAGAAAAGATGAGTGAACTGGAAGACAAACCAACAAAAACCCACTCAACTGAAACACAGCGTGAAAAAACAATAATTCTTAAAAATTGAAAAGAGCACCAGTGAGCTGTGGAACCACTCTGAGAACTCCCACATACACAGCTGGAATACTGGAAAGCATGGTGGGCAGAAAACATTATTTGAAGAAATAATGACTGAAAAACTTCCAAATTTGTCAAAAACCCTAAATCCACAAATCCAAGAAGCTCAATGAACCCTAAGTGCATACACACAAAATAACACCAAGGCACATCAGTAATCAAATTGCTTTACAGACAAACTAAGGCTTAGAGGAAAATCCAGTTGCTAAAACCAAGAGATACAGAAAAAAAATTCTAAAAGCAGCCATATAAAAAAGACACGTTATACACAGAGAAATAACCACGCGCTGGCAGTGGATTTCTCACTGCGAACACTGCGGGTGAGGACCCAGGGAAACCGCCATTTAAAGCATTGAAAGAAATAACTATGCATCCAGAATTGTAAGAATGTCTTTCATAAATGAAAGCAAAATAAGGACTTTCCAGGCATTAAAGAGCTGCAAGAGGGCCGGGCGCGGTGGCTCACACCTGTAATCCCAGCACTTTGGGAGTCCAAGGCAGGCAGATCATGAGGTCAGGAGTTTGAGACCAACCTGGCCAACATGGTGAAACCCATCTCTACTAAAAACACAAAAATTTCCCAGGCGTTGTGGCCAGTGCCTGTAATCCCAGCTACTCAGGAGGCTGAGGGAGGAAAATCACTTGAAACTGGAAGAAGGTGATTGCAGTGAGCTGAGATCACACCACTGCACTCCAGCCTGGGCAAAAAAGCGAAACTACGTCTCAAAAAAAAAAAAAAAAAAAAGCTGCAAGAGCTCACCACAAGCAGACCAACACCAGAGGAAAAGTAAAGGGATTGAGGCTGGCGGAAAGGAACCAACATCAGGAGCACAAGCCCACCAAGGTGGAGAAGCTTGGCGGGAGAGACCACTCGGCTGGGCGCGCTGCCTCACATCTGCAATCCCAGCACTGTGGGAGGTCAAAGCGGGCAGATCACCTAAGGTCGGGAGTTTGAAACCAGCCTGGCCAACATGGCGAAATCCCCCTCTCTAATAAAAATACAAAAATTAGCCAGGCGTGGTGCCATGTGCCTGTAATCCCAGCTACTTGGGAGGCTGAGGCAGGAAAATCGCTTGAACCAGGGAGGTGGAGGCTGCAGTGAGCTATTG